TGTACATGTCAGGGGTGTCGGAACCGTTGTGGCAGATGCGGCCAAAGCCGCACCAATAATTTCATCCGGTGATTTCTGAAGCAATGAGATATAGGCTATTTGGGGACAATTTTCCCGAACATTTCCCCAGTGTAGAGCCCCGCGGGACCCCCCCCCCCCCCCCCCACCTGTTCATGGTCGTACCAATGTACTGTGAAAGCCATTATTCTAACGAGGCGCATACATAACGATTTCCCAAAATTGACTAGTTTACGTGTACCAAAAAGGTAACGATTCTCACTCATTCTCAACGCTCAATAGGACAGTATATGTTGTATCGATTTCTGTATAACGATTTCTATTTTAACGTCAGATTTCTCCTCGTTAACTCGTTAGACAGTTTCCTCTGAGACAAAAATGCGATAATACTCATAAAAAGGACACACTTCAGGCTCATTACAAACATCTTGAAAGTTTTTGTCTTCACAAGTATACTTGATGTTTGTAATGAGCCTGAAGTGTGTCCTTTTTATGAGTATTAACTCGTTAGAGTTAGCACTTCGTTATATATATGGCTTTTACAGTAGTACACGTTCGGGCTCCCTGCATGTGATGATAGAAACAGGTAAATACTTACAGCACTACTAGCTGGCTGCTCATACACTAACAATTTCCAAAAAACTACCTAGAAAGCGCTGAAAAAGTGTTGAAAAATCCCATCACGCGTATCATAGAAAATGGATTATTCGTTCGATGGAGGGCGAAATTATTCGATAGATTATTCGTTCGAAGGATCCGTGTTCAGTGTAAACACTTCTGCCAACAGAATCTTATCTCTGTGTTTGAGCTGCTGATTGCTTGTCCATGTTGGTGTAGGCCTCCAAACCGTCCCAGGGCGCCTTATGACCATGTCCAGCATCGGGCGTATTAGCACGGCACACGGCGAGGTGGAGCAGAGGCTGACCGAGCATGCCGTAACGATTTGTTGCCTCGTTTGACCGCGTCTTCTGCGAAAGGAGGAAAGTCGCCGTGCAAGTCGTATGTGCCCAGGACACTGGTCCCATGCAATGCTGCTGTGTATCACCTCCTGACAGGCCACGATAACATCTTTGAAATAGCTCTCCGCTTGGGATCTCTTCAAGGATCCTCGAATTGTGGTGGTGTTCCTACGGATGCGGAAAACTGGCCTCTAGCCGAGTCTGACGCGAACCGTGAAATCTTTTTTTGTTTTTGGGGTCTCTCCTTTAGTTCTCCCTTTTTTTTTAAGAACCCATGTTTGGACATCTCTGTATGCGCTGCCTACACTCCTATTCTTTGATTCCGTATTTCTTTTGCCTCGTAGTGAGCATAGCAGCATAGCAAGTTTCTCGGACAACTAAAAACGGTGCTACTATCCGCTGATAATCTTAATAATTATAATGACAATATCGTGAATGATGTCATCACTGGCATTATCAGCGCTACATTGTGTATTGCTTTCCGTCCTTGTACGAGCCCGTTTTTTAAATACATTTGTCCCATGCGATGTTGACAGACTTTCACAGTTAATGGTTTTTGTCACTAGTTACATGTCCATCTTGCCACTTATGCCCTATAAGTAAAGCATAGCCTTGTAAAACAATACTGCATACTTGTGGATTTTCAAAAGCGCTGGATCTTATAGCTTTGGAGCGTTGGATTCAGATTTAGATCCCTTCTTTCTTTCGTTTAATAATTATTTTAAATTTTCTCCCTCAACTCAGATGGTGAGCCAGCGTATCTATGAAAATGACAATAGAGAGGTTGCACACAACAAGAAACTTGTAAGATCTTGACCGTCCGTGTTCGACTAACGAAAGCTGCTCGACTGTTTTTTCTGACTTTGTCGTCCATGCAATCATCGCCATTTCCTTTGTGACTTTCTCTATGTACAAGTATACAGTATACAGAGGCAGAAGTAAGGTCCCTGGAGGGCATCAATGGTGCCGCCGCGTCGTCGGCCATTTTGCAAGAGTAGCGATGAAGACAGAGATAATTCCGTAGATTAGCTAAAGCAGACCAAGCTACTAGTAAACTGGGGAATTGCCGTGTTCTTCACGCCAATGCAGCACTGCTTTTATAGCATTCACTTACATGTACATGTATGCAGTAAACAGCTCCGCGATCCGCATGTGCACGGAGCTAGCTCAGCCCTCGCCCCCAGGCTGTGAGTGCCGATAGGTCTGCTAGCACGCCAATCAGTAGGGGTCCCTGGCACTCCTACAAAGACAAGTACATGACAAGTACAGTGAAACCTGTCTAAGACGACCGCTCAAGGGACCTGCAAAATGTGGTCTCTGTTGCCAGGTGGTCTCCTTATCCAGGGTCGTTTGGCTGCAAATAGCATCCTTTGGTCCTGGTTACAGTGGTCCTCTGAGGCAGGTGGTCGCCTTATCAAAGTGGTCGCCTTGACCGGTTTTACTGTATTAGCTGTCAAGTGACGTTCCAGTAACGTTCATTTCACTTGATTCCAACCGGTTGCCAGTGTAGGTTCTACGCTGTCACTGTCTGTAGGTCATGTACTGTAATGTTGGTTTGTATTGCACATAATAAAGACAATTTATAAAAAGTAAAAAGGACCAAAGAACCACAAGTTACACTATAATGTCCACTAACACCACCAGTTACTAAGCAATCAGCTCATGCGATGACATTGCACGACACTGACCGACGGTACTGACGTCAACTAACTGGCTAACAGGTCTAGCACATCTTGGATGCGCACTCCAACATCCATTCCAACTTGGAAGGTTCTTAGTTATAGAAATAACATAAGGAGGAGGGGAAGGTGAGCGCAACCAAGATAAGCACGAGCTGAAAGTCTCAGCTATGAAGGACGTTGGCGGATGCATGTCGATGACGATACTGGCAAGACCATTGGACAATACGGTCAAACCACGATTCAAGGACGCAAAGCAGCATTCCACACAACTTGCGTGGCTCAAAAGATGCGAAGATCAAGAAAAGGGGAAACTATGCGAACAAGAATCATGCAAAACCGAACGCCTCAGTACAACAGAACCTTCCAAGTTAAAAGGCTGTTGGAGTAAGCATCCAAGATGTGCTAGAGCTGTTAGCCAGTTAGTTGTAGAACGTCAGTACCGTCGGTCAGTGTCGTGCAATGTTATCGCATGAGCTGATTGTTTAGTAACTGGTGGTGTTAGTGAACATTATAGTGTAACTTGTGGTTTTTTGGTCCTTTTTGCTTTTTATCAATTAATTCTTGGCTCTCCATCCGAGTTCAATAAAGACAATAACTCAATTATAGCTAGGATGCAGCCATCGCTAAACAGTAGTAAACATGATAACAAGGGGAAAGTTTTATGTACAACAAACTATATCCGGTATTTTGGTCTTTAGTAATGTCTGCATCCCTACTACTCTCACCTCCTTTGGAGAACCCATCGGCGAAGGTAATGATAGCTGTTAGCTAATACAGTCATTCTTGTACACACACACACACACACACACACACACACACACACACACACACACACACACACACACACACACACACACACACACACACACACACACACATTATACACACATTACCGCGCACATATTCGTGCACTAGGCCCTGGCGGATAATGCCGGCAGAATTTCGAGCAGAATAATTATGGGTTATTTTAGAAAAGGAGCAGAATGAGCAGAATTCGGCAGAAAAGTGCAGAAGAAGGAGCAGATACTGTGCAGCTATGAAATGCGGAGAGGGCTGCAGGCGCCTATTTACGGCTCCATTGTGTTAACAAGCGCGTGAGAATCCGGCAGAATACGAGCAGAATGGGGCAGAATACCGGCAGAAGACGAGCAGAATGTCGAGCAGAAAACGCTACTTTTCCGAGCATTATCCGCCAGGGCCTATCGTGCACCCAAACACAAACATACACTGGGACTTACTCACTGCCAAAATTGGTTATGTGGGCCTCCCCTGGAGAGAAAGAACGATTTAAAAGGGATATTGCTCTTTTGCGCTCCCCTCTCTTTATTGCTTATTCTGTTTGGCTCACTCTACCCAGAGAAGTTAAGGACCTGACCTCACTCCGCCTGTTTAAGATCCGTGCCGCCCCTTATTTACTACGACATGCATAGCTCATTATCCACATGTCCTTTGCGTCTCTGTGTTTTTCACTGTTTTTATTTGACATTATCTTTCTCTTTCTTTACGGAGTTGTTGCTGTTCATTTTGCTACTCTTTCTTTTTCCCTCCCCTTACTTTTATTTATCGCCGTGGTTGGCAATCACCCACTCTCTTTAACATTGGCCGGTGTTTCCACCGAGTCTTGAGATGTTGTAATAAATATATATAAATATATATATTGGAAAGATGACCAGCACACACACAAACATACACACACAAACCCACACAAACACAACCCCACACACCCCACACCCACAAACACACACACACGCGCGCGCACACGCACACACACGCGCACACACACACAAAGACACAGGATTCTTTCTCTGGATTTGCTGTGAAGAATGCTCTTCAGTCGAACTGGGATGTCCATTGCAGGGTCGGTTTCACATCAGTGGAAAATGACCAGAATTGATCACACGCTTCGGCCCAGCAGCGCGCCTAACCAGTCTTGTTACTGTCGTGGAATCCGATGACGAGGAATTAGGAGACGAGGAATCTTCCCGCTTGACATCGTCGACTATTTTTTCTGACTTTGTCGCCCATGCAATCTTGGCCATTTCCTTTTTTGACTTTCTCTATGTACAAGTATGCAGAGACAGAAGTACGGTCCGTCGAGGTGGTGTACTGAAACGCCGACTGCAATTGCAAACGATGCAGAAGGACCTGGTCTGTGTTGGTTGCTCTGGCCGAGCCATCGCTGCGCTTGTGACGCTCCATGTCTGGGCGCAATAGCACACAGCGCCACACAGCGGTTGCAGTGGACACTGCAGCGTTCGCTGGACATACATGTATCTTTATGTTAGGACTATATTTCACGGCTCGCGGAATGCAATGCAGACTACGGTACCCTCAACAGAACAAAACAAGTAAGGTATGGTATGGCTTCACCTTTTCTCTAAGCATAAACTGTTCGTAGTTCACCAGGACAAGTCATGCACAGTATTATACTATGAGCACTTCCAGTCGTAAATTGGAACCGAGCGAACAGAACTTGATTCATCAGGTGGTTAAACGTACGAAAATCAGACAGTGTACAATTGTACAAGGCAAGCCGTGGGTGGAAAAGACAAAGATCATTGCTTTTACAATCAGCTAAAGTGAGCTTCCATAATGACTCGACACTAGGGACATTTTCATCCGAAGCCTGTTCCGCTAGGGTTTTGTCGTTCTCCGTGACTTACATCGTGGGAGCATGCGCATGTCCAAACATGGATGTCGGGGAAACCCCTATCCGGGTTCACGAACAGTTACTGGTGAAAAAGTGTACCAAACAGATGCTCATAATAATTATTAGACTTATACTGTGTCTGTAGATGCTAGAATACGCACACGTTTTCGATACAGACGAAGATGGGAAAAGACCGGATAGAACAACACCGCTCACGACTGACACCCGTATAAAGTCCACTAGAACAATACCGGTACTCATACCAAGAGTGCATAACCCCGTAACCCCCCCCCCCCCTTGTGTACTCTTGCTCCTACTGTGCAGAATGACCGACTGACCATCATAGTCAGGTCAGACACTTTATCGCAGGACGTGCCCAGGGCTGGCTATCCTCGTTGTATTTAACAGAGGCATGGGAGACTTTCCAGAGCTGCATGGTGCCGCCATAACCAACACGTAGCTCAGTCCGCACGAACCAGAGATGGTAATGAAAGTCCAGGCTGGGTTTGTTCTCGCGTAGAAAGCGCACAGTTCCGGTGGAATGCTTCTGGATTTCTGTGGCCCTTTCTGAACTCGACTCGTGCGTGAGCACTTTTCCCGTCATTGTCATGTCGTACTTAACGAGGTCCCAGAACTGCCTGAAGTCGCGACACAGCTCGAAATCCGTCCAGTTCTCCAGGCAACAGCCGAACGTGGTTGACAGCTGAAAGAGCTCGTCGCAGAGGCGTAGGTCGTGCTGGCGGGATGCACGCCGCATCAGCGCCAAGAAGCCGTTCGGCGAATTGCAGAAGGCGAACATGTTCCAGAACTGCTTGGCCGTCTCCCGCGTCTTATAGTAGTATGGTGGTGCATGAAATAGTCCGTAGTCGACTGGTCCACCATGCTTCCACATTGTTGGTTTGGATCTGCCATGAATGTTCCTACCCCAGATACTTGTAGTTGCAGCCATGGTGCTCCGGGCAGGTGACGGCTTGGGGGTGCGAGCGACAGTAGCGGCAGTTGACGACGACGCGCTACTTCTGGAGAACAACCTCGCGAGTCTGCGAGGCCATTTTGAAGGCTGGCTCGGCGCGCTCTCGTCTGCTTTTGCCGCAGCACCCGGACTGGCTGTCTGACCGGCTGCTGCTGCTGATGGTTCTGATGGTTCTGCTCCTGCTGCTGTGATGACAGCCGGTGCGCTGGCACTGCGACGAACAGAGAACCAGGGCAGTGACGGTCGCGGCGTCCTGAGGTATCTCTCACCGTGCACAATCTGTCCACGATCAGCGACTGCACTGGTGCCGAAAGCGGGCGGCTGGGACGCTCCAGGATAAGGTACGCCTCTTCCGCTGTGCACGGTGAGGGCACTAGGCACGCGGGGGCGTTTCGAAGGATTGGGAGGCGGACGCACGTCTCCAACAGCACCTGTACCTGGTCTGTAAGCATGCGCTTTAGGACTGGCGGTCTCGCTTGTACGGTGCGTCGAAGGCGATGACAAAACCATGCTTTGCGACGTGCCATAAGTAGGTTGAGAAGGCGTCACGCCCCCCGCCTTGATGCCGGCCTCTGAACTTATGGAATAAATCCGGGAGCCGGCGGGGGCGACAGTGGAGCCGTCGTCGAGGCTGCGACCCATTCCATCTAATCTAACTCGCCTGGGATTATGATATTTATATTTTCTAGGAGCCTTTCCCGACGACGTCGTATCGGAGCTCGTTCTTTGCCTTTGGGAAGGTTGCGAGGAGGCAGCGGCGGCGAAGGACGGGCCGTACCCCAATGCGGAAGACCGTCCACTTTGCTTGCTTCGGTTTTCAGGACTGGTCGCTGGAGGTATGTCATACTCCCTCACGGCACTGGATATAGTGCTGCGTGATGTGGTGGAGTCCTCCGTGTCTGAGTGTGTCTTACTGACGTCACTGACTTTGCGGGAAAACCAATCACTGGGCTTCATCTGCTTCCGGGGGTTTCCCCTGGTAACCGCCGTTACGCCTAGCTGACCGCTGGTAACATTCGCCGAGCTGTCAGTGTGATCACGTGATCCGCTTCCAGTGGTGGTGAAGGTGGAAACAAGGCCGCTACTTGGCTGTGCACTGGAGGCGGATGCTTCTGCTGCTGCTGGTGCTGCTGTTGCTGCTGCTGCTGCTTCTGGTGCTGCTGCTTCTGCTGCTGCTTGAGGTTTCGAAGATTTAGTCTGCTCTGCATACGCTTTCGGCGCTTGTGTGGCGAAGAAGGACGCCGAGTCCGAGGTTTCCTTTTTCGGAGTGCGTTTCAAGAACGAAAGCAAGCCGCGGAGACCACGCCGCCTCCCGTGTCCCACACGATGGTCCGTTTCCGCCGCTCTAAGCAGTGGGAAGTTTTCGTCTTCGTCGCTGTCGCTGTTCTCTTGGTCTGGGGTAACAGTGGACGGCTTCTCCGGAGGCGAGGCACTGCCGGCCCTTGCCTCTAGTCCTGATTCGGCGTCCAAGCGGCGCAGTGGGCTGCTACACAGCACTTCAAGCGGGCGCGAAGCCGGGAAGCCCATCACCGCCGGCGCCGGTGCGACTTTGCCTGCTTGCTGGCTAACATTAACAGCTGATCCAGGTTGTTCCACTGTGTGGGCTGTACCGCCTGTAGCTTCTGCTGCTGCTGCGCTAGCCTGGCCCGATGCAGATGATGTTTGCTCCAGTCGACTAGGGGCCCGCGATGCCATGCCTTATGTGTCCGTGCCGTTGATACTGGGCACTACGGCGATTACTATCGAAGGCAGTGGTCGCTGACTGGACTGGAGGTTGATACTGGGCATCAGGGCGAGCACCATGGAAGACAGTGGTCGTTGACTTCACCTGACTTGACGTTGATGCTGATCGTATCGGGAGAGAATGAGGCGAGACCTTGTCATTCGAAACCTCAGCTACCATGAGAGTTGGCGCAACAGGCGGATGCAGCTTTATGTACAACTCCACAGGAGTGTGTGTAAGGTACAGTACAGCTCGCACGTCCTTGTTACCACCTGATATACAGCTGTATAATCATAACAACAATTTATTGTGTACTTAGAAGTAATTAGTTGCGAATTCGGCGGAATTAGTCATGAAGTTGGTTGTTCCAACGAGGAACACACGTTTCCTGCCGAAGTTGACACTGTGTATTGAGCAGGGAGTGGTGCGGTCTTGCAGGTTTGCCGAGTGGAAGGTGCGACGTGCTCCTCGTGTGCTCCGGATGGCAGTCGTGAGTCAGTCAAGTGTCAAGTTTAGTTCGGCAGGAAGCGTGTGTTCCTCGTTGGAACAACCAACTTCATAATTATTGTATTGCGTTACCTACCAGGTACTGTACTTGCCACCATACTGGTGGGAAATGGCAACAGGTTGCTGTAGTGCGGTGTTGAGTTGACCATCAGCCGCAAACGTAGCTGCCTCGCACCCAATTGTATTCCCAATTTAATTATTGTATTCTTTATCAGCTTCGAACGTAGCAATGGTAGTGTGCGGTACTGTTCGTGGAGTGTAGGGTCCGGCGGATTCTGCCGGCAGGAAAATTGGCAGAATTCGGTACTTTTTCTGGTAAGTTTTATGCATGTTTGGTATGTGGATAAAGAAATGGAGCAGAATTCGAGGTATTGCCCGCCATAAGGTTTGTATGGTTCTGCCAATTTCACTGCTTTTCGAGCAGAATCTGCCACCTTTTCGAGCAGAACCCGCCGGTCCCTAGACTGGAGTGCGTGTGTTGGTTTCATCCGCTGTTCGTGCTTTTCGCTTTCTACACAACCCACACTACTCATCTCTACAGGTAGTCTGTCAAACAGTTAATCATGACATGAGCATGATGCAAGGGCCGGCACGTTCGGGCTCTCCGCCTTCTCCGTGAAAAAATAATAAAAGAGGTTCTCCGTTCCGGCTCTACTCGTGCTCATCTAGGGAGAGAAAGAATCGAGACAGCGACTATCCACAACACGCTATTCAAGCAGCCAAACACTATGCAGGTACACCAAGACCATCATCCACTAGACAGCGACAACAATCGTACACGTCCATCATCAAACTGCCCTTTGTCGTTGATGGTTTGGCCGGTGATGTTCGTCGTAGATCTACGGTGAGATCTTTTCAGTAATGATGTGAGTGTGGTGTTCCAGTCGGTATGTCAATAAGGGCGCGTTCGAATTGTCTTCATCAACTGTTCGAACAAATTCCTAGAAGAGGTTTGTTGAAGTGTCCCAATAGAACTGTTTCTCTCATTTTAGAGTTTTTCAGTGGAATTGTCATGGCAATAATGACGTCCGTGATCCGATTGACCATCTCGACGTAGCTATTCCAAACTCTTCGGAACTAATCTACTTCTCCCATCAGATGAGGTTGTGGAGTTTTGAGGAGTTTCAGGGAGACTTTCGTTTTCTGAAGAGGCCTACAAGCCACCTCTTCAGGAAAACAAAACTCCTAAAAATTCAATTTTTAAAGTAAGAACCTGTCCTCTGTCAGATACTTCTTCTTTCATAATTTTCTAATTCCTGTCCTCTCTTATCTAAATGTGGCTTATCCATTCGCTTTTATATCACTGGGCCTAGTCCCCGTTTATTGTGCAAATTAAAATAAACCAACCAACCAACCATGGTCGTATGGTCATCATAGTCCCTTCCTGAATGCCCGAAGGCTGTGTATGAGAAAAGGAGAGGAAGAGGGCGACCTGATGAATGTCGTGCATGTGATGCGGGTATGCAGAGTGGTCAGTGTTTGTCACTGGATATTGCCTACTCAATGTTATGTACACTTTGCTTCGAGGAGTACGTTGGCGAGACTAACAACGAAGATAACTGCCAGTAAGAGGTTTGAGGAGCATTGCAGAGAGGCCAAAGTGCAAGCACCGGAGATGCCATGGGGAGAACAGTATCTACATTGTAGAACACCACCCACCACACAAGCTATCGCATCTACACCCATCACTTGTATGTAGTAATCCTGATGCTCTGATACATGCCGAGGCTAGCTGTAGGCTCAGTCTCCGGCTAGCTGTATGCTCAGTCTCCGGCTAGCTGTATGCTCAGTCTATACATTCTTATCTTCTTCTTTTTTCCTTTCTCTTTTTATAATAATGTTTTACTGAAGTTGTCTTCATATAAGGAGGCAGATATGCCTGTTTGTTGTACGACTTTAAATATATCCAACCAACCAACCAACCAACCATCACCAACGCATCGATGCTCGCCACACTGTCATCCATTGGAAATCGTCGTATACGTGACGGACACTCTAAGTGTGATCGTGACACAGGGACCGAGGCTGGAGATTGCAGGACACAGTGTGATCGTGAACAGGGACCGAGGCTCTTCGCGCGCTTGAGTCATGACCAAACCGGTAACACACGGACAGTGCAATTCTGGCGCCAGAATTAGAGAAATTCCGCCTTCTCTTCAGAATTGATGGATTCGACGGAATTGGATAAAGTCAATTCTAACGACGGAATTTGTCACTTTTTGTGTAATCGAACTGTGCATCGACAACAATACATGTAACTAATTCTAGAATTGAACGAAATGCGTGTAATCGAAAGCGCCCAGTACTATAGTACAGTCGTCCCTCTCTAATCCGGCACTTTATAATCCAGCACCCTCGATAAACCAGCACAAGTTTCAGTAGCCAAAATGTCCTCTTCATGCACATTGCAGCAGTAAATCAGATTTGTTAATCCAGCACCCTCCCTAATCCAGCAGATTTTCGTGGCACAAATGGTGCCGGATTATAGAGGGACCACTGTATACCATGGTATACGACTCCCTGGTTGAAATGTTGGCGTAGATCCACAATCATGATCTACGAGCACACAGTGACCATGGTGACGGTCAGTCTGGCACATACCGGTAGATCACCTGACACTATGATCAAGGGTTGATATCAAAATGCATGGCCCGAAGTAGTATAGTTTGCATGCTCGCACCATCGCACGCGCACGCATTGACAGAAATTCTGATGTCATCCCAGGATCAGAATCTCCTTTTTCAGTGCAAGGAATGTTCGCAGCCGACCGTTGACCAGGCTGGTTGACATAGATAGGCAGGGCCCCGTCGACGCCGCGGCCGGTGTTCGTTGATTCCTGACCTGCCAAGTGCTGATTTCAAGCCTACAACTACAAGTACAAAGGCCATGACTTGTGGCGTTGGCCAAGATCAAAGACAAGGACGTAGGCATTTGTCCGTTGGTTCGGTAGCCACATACAAAGCTATGCTCTAGGCACGGACTGTCCGGAGCTTGCGATGCAAACAACAAACAGGCCGCAAACACTCAAAATCGGACCAAAATCAGAAAGAAGACCGCACACATTGGTACGCGGAGAGCTTCTCTCTGTCGGTGACGAGGTCCTTCGCGACCGATTCTAACTCTCTCTGTCTCCAGTGTACTGGGTGCAGTAACATTTGGACTCGAGTGCAGTCCATCCTCTGCCGACTACGTTGCCCTTTGAGGCAGCGTCGAGGTATTCTGAGGACAGGACTTGCCCCGCATAATATCGACGCAGACGGTCGCGGCTTTACAACCGCCGACCCTCGCAGAAACCCGCCTCCAGCTGCAGTCGAGCCGAGGATCGAGCTGTGGCGTGGAGTCCGCCATTGAGTCTGTGCACCGTTCCAACTAACTTGGGTGCGATCCAACGATCAACGGTCGTGACGGAGCAAGACGTTTTCGCCGGTTGCTGTGGATAGTGTATCGAAGTTGAGACCTGGACGACAGCCTTCCCAGATGGAGTGGGCAGAAAAGAGCGGAGCTATGGCTCTCGGGAGTGGCTCAACCCAACAACAACGACGATCAGCCGTCAGGACAACGATGTCCTCCGTGTTGGCTGTGATTTCTCTAATTTGCCTCTCGTGGAGTTTGTCGGCTGGTAAGGATGTGTTTGAATGATTGGAGTCGTTGATGCATGAACGACGTTTTCTTTCACTGTGACCAACAATAGCCGTGGTTACTATGATTGATCGTAGTGATAATGCTCCTTGCTCGTGCGGCAGCTAACGGGTGGGGTTTGGGCGTGTACAGATCCAACACTCAGCGGTTCACTGCACCAGGACTACTTGTCCATCGAATGCGGCCTGACCAGTACAAGTTTCCCCTACACATGTCGGTTGTGACGAAAAATAATCTTATTTTCGTGGTCGCAGAAAGAATCTGGGAGCGATGTTTCGTACCGGAGCATGAAAGACATTCAGGATTCATTTAGCAGGGAGCACTACAGCGAAGCCTGACACACACACAC